GTGAACGGTTTAATGAGGGAAAAACTTGACATATTAAGGGTTTATTTTTCTAAATTCTCAGGCAGAAAATAAAACAAATAAAGCAAATATAAAACAGAACATTTAGAAAATTGTAATTAGGTAGAAGTTTCATTTATTACCGGCAGCTGCCTCACACTTTGACTCACACTCACACATATAGAGTGTCTTCAAGGCTACATTCCAACATCTGTCAGTTCCACTGTTGTACCATGGTCTGTCTTTACTTATTTACTGCTCTCAGTGTTAGCCTTTGCAACTTTCCGCCCGGCTTACAGAGATATTGTTTCCCTTTTGTCTTTCCCACCCTGAAGCACCTGCAATGATACCCAAACCCACACATTACAATCTTGAGAAGTTAATTTAGTTCATCTGCTTTCTCAGGCTGAGAGTACAATGTCTCTTTTAGCAGCCTGCAATCAGGGAGAAGCAGTTGGCTGAAATTGCGTCATTGAGGCTAATAACGGGCAATTAAAAGCCAGTTGTCTTTTGTCCTGACAGACTGTAGGGTTAGGAATATAAAACTGTTTATTTGTGGGTTCAGGGGCTGTTTTAGTGACGATATTCACAGAGAGCTGGCTTGTTATTTAGCCCCAAAAGAAGCTATGGATGAAATGTCAGTCTTTCATGGTAATCATACCTGCTAAATGTCAGCATTATCATGTTAGCATGCTGACATTAGCATTTGGCTCAAAACACTGTTGTGTTATACATGACCACTAAGCTGTTGACCCTGTGTCTAAAATTCTATATTACATTATATACTAATTGTATACAGAGTTTGTACTAATCTTCAATAATTCTGCTACTACAATAATACTGTTTTAGCTGTTTAAGCACAGGTAATTATTGATGCCAGTTAAATCTAACTAAGAGAGAAAAACATGTTTTTCTCAGAGAGTTCAATGATTCACTTTTGTTTTCTAAGGTGTTACGGGATGTGTCTCATTACCATCCACAATTAGTATGGATGCTTTCCAGCTGTAATTAGCTCCTTTTTTTGCATTGCATTGTGGGAAAATATATTCCATCTAAAACACATTCAATTGTTTTTTAGTATGCATGCTCTATATTTTTGGGGTGAGCACACTAAAAACCCATTTCCAAGCAGTATATTGAAAACCTTGTAGATTATGTTATTTCCCTTGTGCATAAAGTAGCCCTTAAATCGGTTGTAAAAAAACAGAGCAGTTCTAAATGTGGTGTTTTAATAGAATATCATAATTTTTTCTCGACTGTTGTGCCAAACCACTGCTTCTCAAATGTATCAGTCAAACATAGCTTCGATGCAAGCTGTATTTATCAATAACCATGGAAATTAAACCAAGCTTCAGTATTCAGCTTTAGTAGCTATAGGCTGTAGCAGCTCGTTCCTCTGCTCCCCTCATCATTCCTTGCTTTAGTTTCCATTTTTAGCCACACTTTTGAATTCCTCTTCGATCTCTGCTCAATGGCCCCTATTTACTCTGTGCAAGTCTGGCTGCTGGTGCTGCTGCTTTAGAGATGAGTATTCTGGGGTGGAATGGGTTGCAATATGCCTCCTATCCATTATTGATCCATGATTAACCAGAGTTCAACAGGGTTCTTTACTCCATCGCGGTGGGAGACCTGGAGGGGATTGTAGCCCCTCCCAACATACGAAATATGGAGATGTGTCTTCCCCCACCGACCAATATAATGTAATGGTCACAAATGCCTCCAAAAGCCTAGATAAAGATTTAGTCCCTCCACACGATGCAGGTTTGGTGTTCCTGTCACTCAACAACAGTGGGCACGTTTTTGGTTTCTGTATCCTCTACGCACCATGCACAAGAGCAGCATCACTGATGCCCATGACATGTTAAAGTGGACCTATCATGCTATATTATAATAATATAGTGTAGGACCATACATATATAAGGCATATTTATACTTTTGTTTTTTCAAAATAACAGATCATGCATTTTAGCCATGCCTCATTTTGCTCAATTTGCACTTTTTTACCCCTGTTTTTGCAAGGGCTGATTCAGTGAGAACAGCACCATCTACAGGCCTGGCATATGTACTACAGCGTCTCCAGCGCTTTCGAACGGCAATGGCCGTGGCTGTCTCCTCCTGATTGGTGGAGTTGGCCCAATAGCCGTAGCGCCACTGTCCTGACGTCAGGACAGTGTTCAAATCTGGATCAGTTTTTATCAGATCCGTTGCAGCCCCTTTTTTAGAGATTTGGGTATGGAGGAAAATAGAGAGGGTTGTATTTTCTGACACTTGGTGAGTTCCCTGGAACACCGGGGACACATATTCATGTATAAAAGACGTACAAAAGTGCATTTTGCATGATAGGTCCCCTTTAAATATAAACCAGTGTGTTTCTGTTGGTGTTGATACATCACACATCTGGTTATGGTGTTTTTAAAAGGAGGATCTCAGATACTCCAAATGTTCATGTGATGTTGGTCCCAACACATTCTTGAAGCTGACAAATCTTAAAGATGGCTCTGTATTCTTTGTTTTGATGCACTCAACATTTAGCAACTGGTTAAAGACTTTATACTAAAAATAAGGAGGAAAACTCTACAAAACATGCTTCTTCTTTGTATTTCCTTTGTCTCGGTGTTGCCAGAAGAGACAGCATGTCATTAAGTAGTCTCATTTGAACTGCTTTCTAAGATTTCTGCGATGGATTTGCGCCAACAATTATCTGCTGGATATCAGCATCACAGTGTAAAGTTTTCACGGTCATTTTGATGGGGAGTGAGCTTTGACTTTAGTGGTACTGATGGTAACACAGGCCAGAGGTAAGACAGGCCTGATTCCCCTATCCCCCCCTCCCCCCCCCTCAAGACAGCCATCTGTATCACTCAGGGAATGCCTCCTCAAGAAAGCTCGGCAGACCCGCTGATCCTGATGCTTTTGGACACTGATGGTGCACACCACTGACCTTTGGGCTGTCGAGTGCACTCAAACAACACTTGCTGCATGTGTTTATGTCCCAGACAGTCTAATGAGGGTGTATCTGAAGCCAGCAGCAGGAGCAAGTGCCAGGATACAGCTGCTGCCACCAGGCCTGTAATCACAGCGTCTTTCCCGACTTACTGTATGGTAGCCGTTTGCAAACTTGAACATATACGTACACGATTGTTGGGAATGGAACTCTTGGAATTAAGTTTCCATATCCCATCATCATTCACACTGTTACTTTACACTTTGTTGTCAAACTGTTTAACTTCAGGATATATTAAAAGGTTTTATTAATGTGTAAATTATTGATATGAGAGCAGGTTCACACCTTGCAATTTACAGCAATCCCAGTATGATCTCTGGTACTGGCTAGGGCTGCATCAAACAACTGTTTTCATTATCAGTTCATCTTATTAGTTAATTCGTTTTTTCATTACTAATGAAGTCCTTTTTTTGCCAGACGGTTTCAAACCCAGAGGAATTAATTTTACAACGTAACAAAAACAAGCAGCAAATCTGCATATTGGAGAAGCGTGCCAGAGAATCTTTCTAAAGATGTTAAATCCATTATCAAAAGGTTGACAATTAAATCACCAAATGGATTACATTTTGCTGCACTTCTTTCAGCTCTTGAATAGACTCCCGACACAGCCGCCCTTATCACGTATCTGTAAAGCAGACTCAGACTGTGATTATGACCGGGATGTTATGTCAGTGTTAAAACTGCTTTATAAGAACTGGTAAGGTCAACAATTGTAGTTGTTAAAAACAAATAAAAGAGTCCAAACTAAAAGTATATTCTTGCGTTAAACAACCTGTAAAGTTTGAGCAAGCTATTCCTGTGTGAAGCCAACCCTGAAGGACAAGAGAGTGTAAGCACAGGAGGCTGTTTGTGTGCCTCTTTTATGAGACTGTGCAGATGTTTGCTGTGTTGAAAGAAGTGCAGAGAGCAGCTTTGGAGTCAGTGGGAAATCTCAGTGCCGCACTCCACTTTATCTGCCGTGACTGTCTCTGGGGAGGGGGTCGCATCATTAAATATTCATATAGCACTCACAGGACATCACTTTAGGAGTGGCTTACCTGGACAACACCTGTCCAATCTTTGTTTTCCATCAGAGTGCGCTTTGACATACCGGCGGTTCAGCTGAGAAGATCTCCTTGGAGTTCTTCAACCTTAGTTTGAAGGTCGGGTCAAACGTCTTGCAGTCTGTCACTCTCACGCAAAATATCAACTTCACAGTCAAATATGATTTGTAACCATACATTCATATTGGAAATTTTTGCTTTGTTTTTAAATACATACACAAATGTTATGGTATTGGAATAAGATGTATATTTAGCTTCCTGCACCACAGAGCTTCATCGGAGTCCTCATTTTAAATGTCCTTTTGACACTGCAGGAAACTGATGAATCTATATTAAGCGTCCTCCCTTGTTTTCCTTGTTCAGTAGCTGTCCTTTTGCAAGCATTGAGGACATTTACTCTCTCTAGGGGAGAGGTTTGTATAAAAAAGAATAGCTCTAACTTCACCACCAAAATGCCAGCCGAATGTGTTTTCCCCTGTAAAATGACCTGCTGTGATTGGGTGACAAATGAATAGTTGGATACCTAGTTAAAAGTGCAATGCATTTTAGGCAGCGAAACTGAAACCTCGTTATTTTTTAACAGTGACATATTTGGGATTTGGTTGGGTCAGTTTAACTCTCTCTCTGTGTGTCCAACGATTACCATTATGTCTTGATCCCCAATTATTCTGCATTTTGGCAGGTGGGAGAAATCTGTGGAACGGAAAGGATTTTAGCTCAAATTTGTAAAATCATTGCTCTGATGCAATTTCCAAGGGCAATATATATAAACTAAGATAATAATCTCATTAGCGAGATTTCCAGTTTGCCAATTAGCATTCAACCTTGGACTTTCATACACAGACAAAAGTCACCATCTGTCAGCACAATGCAAGGCAGCCCTCTGTGATGATGATGATGATGATGATGATTATGATATGCTCACAGCTCGCTAACTGTGTTTGTTTTGGCTGCAGGAACTTCTATTACATCACCATGCTGCGCGACCCCGTGTCCCGCTACCTGAGCGAGTGGAAGCACGTCCAGCGAGGAGCCACGTGGAAGACGGCCCTCCATATGTGTGACGGACGCTCGCCAACCCAGGACGAGCTGCCAAACTGCTACATCGGAGACGACTGGTCCGGGGTCACCCTGACGGAGTTCATGAACTGCCCGTCCAACCTGGCAAATAATCGACAGGTCCGCATGCTGGCTGACCTGAGCCTGGTGGGCTGCTACAACCTGTCCTCCATGAACGAGAGCCAGCGGAACCACATCCTTTTGAGCAGCGCCATGAGCAACCTGAAGAACATGGCTTTCTACGGCCTGACCGAGTTTCAACGCAAGACCCAGTACATGTTTGAGCGGACGTTCAGCCTGCGCTTCATCGCCGCTTTCACGCAGATCAACAGCACGCGAGCCGCCAACGTGGACCTGAGCGAGCCCGTGCGCAGACGCATCGAGGAGCTCAACTATCTGGATGTGCAGTTGTACGAGTACGCCAAGGACCTGTTCCTCCAGCGATTCCAGTTCACCCGCCAGAGGGAGCACCAGGAGGTTCGCTTGAAGAGGCGCGAGGAGAGGCGTTGGCTGAGGGAGAAAAAAGAGCAAGGGAGGCCATGGCCGCCCAAACACAAAGGGGGAGGAAATGCAGGTGGGAGAAGGGGAGGAGGGTCGGAGAAAGGGACTGAGGGTGAGTTCCCCACCACCACGGAGGACTACACAAGCCAAGTGGCCCGTTGGTGAGGCTGTGGTCTTAAAACAGAGGAGCAGGAGAGAGATTCCTCACAGACTTGTTTAAAGCTTTGACTCTCTCTCGCACATCCGGTGTTTCTCTCTCTTTGTCTCACCAATGATCTGTCTCATGCATCCGTCTGTTTTATCAGCTTCAGTGTGATCCAAGTGCTCTGCTGTTTCCTTTAGGAAAACTGCCAAGTCTGTGCGTCTCACAGCAGCTCTGCCTTGGAGTGCCCTTTGGTGTCTTAAATCTTTAAATGCTGTTTATGAATTGTTTTGGTCATTTAATTTTTGCCTTATCATGTGTTGAATAAGACATTGAACTGAGGTGTAGGAAAAAAAACAATCAAAAGAAGCTGCCATTGCTTTATTTTGACATTCAGAAGCAACAATAAGGAATGTCATGAAGTATTTGTTGCAACTGGTGGAAGACATATTGCTTTTGAAAGATGTTGTTGTAGAAGAAGTGATGCTTGCATGTCACACGTCCACATTATACTGACAATTGGGGAGAGTGATTTCCAAAAGATATGCAGTACTGTGAGCCAAAGTTAATTCAAATCACCATGTATTTATTGTATTTGTATTCAATGACAATGAAACCCTCTCTAAAGACTTTGTTGTATGCATGCAAAACCCATATTTTAAACCAAATTACAGAAGACTATATCTGATTGTTATATTTTGGTTACAGTTCAATATATATTAATTTCCTCAAGTGCAATACCTTGCAGACTTCACCACGTCACCCAGAGATATCACTTGCTGTACACACAGTGTTAATCACAAAGAACATGAGAAAGGAAACAAGTTCTCTGTGAAAAAAGCATATTCTGTGAATAACTCAACAAGTATGTGGCAGATAAAAACTTGGTAAATAGTACAGGTGATGAAATGTGTCAGTGTGGCTGGTGTGTGGCCGGACTGTGAACGAGATGATCAGCATTCAGCTCTCACCCCCCCCCCCCCCCCCCGTCACACTGGCTGCTTTTACATGTTTGTAGAGCTGACGGCACTGTGAGCAGCGAGAGCGCTTTAATGCCAGCAGAGCCCCCAGCCCACAAACACCATGCCTCAGAGCAGGGAGTCGAGAAATAAAACACATCTGTCATTTCGTCTGCCCGAACGTTTCCAGTCCCTCAAATCCAATCAGCGAGCCAATATGTGAAGATAAAAGAGGGCTTGTTTTTATCTGCTTAAATAGGCTTCAGTGATGCTTTTTTATGCCTCTCATCTCATATTCACTCAAAACCCCTGCTTGTCAAATTAAACGCTCTCTAAATGTCAACACTGAAGTGGTACGGCTGCTGCTATTTTAAGTCATTTTTCATGTTTCTTCTTTTATTGCCGTTAATATGAAATACCTCGGATGGCACAGGTTTGTTTCGGTTTGGAGAATCACCGTCGTCTTGTTTGAGTGATGAATTTGGATCGTACACTGAATGTGGTGAATGAATACAGGTTTGAGCTGTGGGTCTGTATGGGTGAACTTGTCTGTACGGATGCACTCACTTCACTGAGAGTGTGGATGGGTGGAAGAGAACAAAAACAAGGTGTATAGCACATTGATAACTCTCAGCCAAGTGTTTCAAGTGGAGCTGCAGCACTGAATATTAAATCCTTCTGTGCTGCATGTATTACTGAATTCATGAAGCTTGTGTTGTAGCAGGGAAATAGATTTGTGACAAAATTATTATTTTTGATTATAGTTATTGATAAAGGCTCGTTTTTTATATCTGTCTCAATAATACTTTATGCCCTGAACTCCACTCCATTCATTTGACTTTGTAACATGTCATGCAACATTAGATGTAGGTGTATCATTAAGAATGATCCAATAACATGAAATACTATGAAAATATTCTGATTGATTGTCAACATCTTTGACAAAATAAATGTTTTCGTGTATCTTTACAAAAGGTGTAACCAAAAACTCCTGCTTCATCAGGACTGTGCGGGTGTGGTTTGATCAGATTTATCTAAAGTACATCAATAAAAAATACACAAAGCAACTCAATAACTAAACTTCAAATTCCTACTTAAATAAAATTAAAATGTTAAGTTGGATACAGGATTATAACTGTACTGTAAATACTTTAATAAATGATGGCTGAATTCCATTAAGCTTCAGATTCAGGGTCCTCATTTTTTCATTGTTTGGTTTAATCATAAGTATCATGTACTTTTCAGATAAGAATCTGAAAGGCATCTAAGCTCTTCATTTACCACAGGCAACATATATGCATTAAATGATAATCCTATTAGACCGGGAGAATTTCTTTTTTAAATGGGAATTTTCAACAGAACGTTTATTTTGAAAATGTCTTTTAATAAACCAACATGCATGCACTGCTGTGTCACAAGCTGTAGAAATGACAATGTTCCCCGATGACAGATGGCATGAGCACTGCAGGAGCAGTACGTGTGCTGTACAGCTATAAATGAAACACTAACGAAAAACTACGTTGTAAATGCGCTATATACCCATGTTTATGTGAGTGTGTGAGGTTATTTTGTCTATCATGTGTATCTTTGTTGTTGTGATCATTAACACCTGTGTTGTGCTGCCTCAAAGCCTTCGATACAGCATACAGACTGATCACCTAACTACTAGAGATTCACTTGAGAGGCATAGAGCAAAGAAAGGAACAGAAAAGGTTCAAAATGTAAATAACATCTGTTGTGTTCATGTGTAAAGAAGCTACTGTGAGAGAGATCACCACAGAGATCAAAGAAGAAGAAGAGGAAGAAGTAGCACATCTCAATCAGCTGTAACACCTGCAAATAGGGGTTTCCATGGAGACAGTAACTGCTGAGTGACTCCCGGGTCCGTTCATTTAGCAAAAATTGAGCTAATTTTTGTTTATTACTCAAAGAGGGTCCTATATCCTAATTTTGACACTGTGCGAGAGAGTGGACTCAGCCGAACGAGTTGCAGCATAATATGTTAATGTCAAAAACTTGACAACTTGACAACATAACATTATTTAATTTTCTCAGCATTATCATCGTAAAATGTCATGTCAATGCAGTGAAAATGAAAGAATAATTGTGATGAGTGCATTAGGGGTTCTGCTAAAGGCATCAGTCTTTTCAAACAAACCTTGCTTTATGAAGAAATCAACTCATTTACAGTTGGCAAGGCTGTTCCACCTCTCCTCTCATCTAAACAGGAAGTGACTGATCGGTTTTATTCTGTCTGTAAGCCATAATACTGAAGCTACGTATGTAGGGTTTCTACCTAAAAATATATATGAATAATGTAGTGTAGGTTTAAAGCCTTCAATAAAGGCTACCAAAGACAGATCTTTCTACAATTTAAGTTCAGGCCAAATAAAAATAAATTAAAAATAATAATAATTACAAATACAAAAAATTGATTAATCCTGAATGAGCTGGAAATGTTGAAAATAAAACTTAGCCAATTGCTGTTGGCCATTAATCTCATCAATTAGGCTACATTAAGACATTTACTGTACATCCAATACCTTAGCATAATCAACAACATATTTAGACAGAACACCAACGTGTAATGGCTGAGATCTAGTAAAACTTGCAAAAGATCTTTGAGAAGTCAAATATTTGTATTATTTAGTCACCGTTGCCAGTGTCTACTTTTATTGTTCTGTCAGCTGCTGCTTATTCCCTTGAAACACAGAAAATGAATAAGACATTTAAACTGCAAAATGGTTATAAATAAAACAAAAGTATACTGCTCAATTTTTGGCTTATTATTTCTGTGACTTCTTAATACATATTTCTCCTAAAAGACTTGTAATGGACTGCAAATAGGAAAAGTAAAAACTCTAAATCTCTTAAACGATTGTATAAATAAAGAAAAGGGGATAACAAGGATTTTTCACTCAAAATGTTAATGATATTTTCATAAAAGTGTGACATGCCGCTATATTATAGAAGCATTGTATTGAAGTTGTACTGCCACAACATGTCTCTGATGATTTATCTACATTTATTTGTTTATTTATATAGTTTTAACTGTTGCTAAAGAATGGCTTTGCCTGATGGGAAATACCAGAATTACCAACACCTCAGTGATGATGGAAGACAGCTTAGTGTAAGAATTTATATGTACATGTTAAAGTCTTGTGATGAAATGAACGGTTTAAGAGCCTTTTGGCGTGTAATATTTAATCTGCCATTTTGTCAGATCTGAAAAAATGAGTTAATTCTGCTTATAATATCAGAAATAAATGCATTGAATGGCCATGACATTATGGTGTGTTTTTTTATATTTTTCAACTAACCTACTTAAGGTTTTGTTTGCAAGAATGTATATTACCAAAAACTGATTTTCGAAATTGGTTTTCGAAAGTTGTTTTGTGAACCATCTCAAAGTAAACTTAAGGTGAGTATATACTTTGTATAGAGTGTGATAAGTCACAGTTACATTTATTAGGCCTAATTAAAGATAATCACATCCAGTCATTTATATGAGTTAGCTTGATATTTTCTCTTGCATTGAATGTAATGATTCATATCATTAAGTATCAGATATTTACATTTCTTATAAGCCAGTTAACTTCCTAAATGAAGATTATATGTGCTGATACAGTGAAGACATCACACATTAATTGTGAGCGAACTTTTAATGAACAAAGTAGGGTATGCTTTGATAAATAGTATCCAGAAAAGAAGGGTATGGCATGGTGTTAACAAGTGCAACAATATAGCCATGAAAACACGTCTGGTTCCCTTCACCTATAAAACCAAGTGCCTCAGGGCTGATAGCATATTGAGTTAACCTGGCGTTTACTTCACATCTGTATCAACATACAGAAGCTTCTGCTCTCCTTCAGGTTGTGCAGTGAGGATGGCAGGCTCTGCATTTTATCCAGTGACTGCAGCAAGGCACCAAGACGGTTAGACAGTATTTTCTTTCAATGTTTTACTGTATGAAATGTGTGATGCACCAACGACAGGTTGTTAAACTCTGAATTTGCAGCTTAAAATGTATCTATCTTATTACTTCCTATAGTTGGGGGAGGGGGGAAACAAGAATGTGGCTGTTCCACAACACAACAACTCACCATATCCTTGGTGTGAAAGTAGACAACAAAATCAATTGACATTCATTTAGTCCTTATGAACCTGGGTTAGCTGGTTTTGGGGGAAATCGTTGTTGCCAGATTGGATATATTCAGATCAGGGACATGTACCAGAAATAACTCAATATTGAAAGTATTTGATCCTCATTTTAACATATAGTTCAGCTTTTTAGCCACACTGCACAACCTCACTGATCACAGCAGGATGTGACACAGCTTGAAATACATTGACACCACTGAATTGGGTTTCTGAACCAGCAATGCACCTCTCAAGCCTCTGGATTTTCAATTTTTTAAGAAATATATTTAAGGGAAGAGGGCCATCTACAGGCCAAAGGATAGCATTGCTGCTTATCGTGTGCCACATGTTCATTCTACAGCACATGTCTCAAACTCAAGGCCCGGGGGCCAAATCAGGCCCTTGGTGGATTTAATTTCGGCCCGCAGGATAATTTCTAATTACTATTAGATCTGGCCCGCCGGTATATTGCACGCACACCTTCACTCAATCCTGAGGATCTCCTCAGCTCAGAGCCTGAGCCCAAACATTGATGAACTTGCACCCAAGATGAGATGCCAAGTATCTGGCTTGAACTAGCATCACAGAGCAGCAACCTGAGTTTCAATGGATGTTTCCTTCTGCACTTTTTCTCTCATGACAACAGGGCATGTTTGGTTTTTTTCTTTGAGGGAAATAGTTTTTTTTAAGCTGTTGTTGGCCTGTGGAAAAATGTAATCATAAGAAATGACTCCGGAAAATCTGCAGATAGAGCCATAAGAAATGAATGCAACTGATTATTTAATGTTTAATGTTGTTTTTATAGGCAATAATTTAAGCTTTGTTTGTCCCAGGTTTAATATGTGCAATAAGTTCATTTCAATAAGTTTTGCAATAAACATTGAACCAGTCCGGCCCTCGACTAGTACCCATTTTTTTTATTTTGGCCCACCGTGTATTTGAGTTTGACACCCCTGTTCTACAGGCTGTTCATTTCTATAAAAACTCAAGAAACACCCTGTCTTCTTTAGGACTTTTTACAAAAACAATGAATGTCAAACCAAATGAGCTTGTCTCCTATTTAAATACGTATTTTTCTCAAACTAAAACATTACTACTGTTTTGCTTTTTTGAAAACCTTTTTAACCACTAGATGGGAGTGATGCTTTCAACAAATTCATGTGCGCCACTAATAGGATTGTGTACAGGACAACCAAACTATTTACATTTTCACTAGTGGTCTCACACTTTAGAATATTTCAATGTTCCAAAACAAAGGACAGTCTAAAAAAAACACCACTTCAACAGACATTGCACAGTTTAGTTCAACTTAAGTTGTATGAATGTGCATCTAAATAAAATAACTCAGAATGTGACAACAATCACAGTCACATGCAATATTAAATGGAGATTAAATAACTAATTATGAGCACAACAAATATGGTTAAGGTCAACAGATAAATAGAAGCCTGTATTGCTGCATTCTCTTTGTTATCTGACTCACTTTGACAGTGGCATTTTCCTCAAAGGGAGCAATGGTGACCTTTCCCTGTGGCAATTGATGCCACATCTCCAGTTTGTTGAAGAGACTGTCAGTATGACAGGTCAGATCAAACTCATCTGTTGCTTCAAGAAGCAAAATAACAACAAGAAGAGAAACACAAAAGAGGGATAATCAATCAGTTAGTCAAAGCTGGCGTGTGTGTGTGTGTGTGTGTGTGTGTGTGTGTGTGTGTGTGTGTGTGTGTGTGTGTGTGTGTGTGTGTGGTGTGTGTGTGTGTGTGTGTGTGTGTGTGTGTGTGTGTGTGTGTGTGTGTGTGTGTGTGTGTTGCATGGTGACTAAACGAATGTGGGAGTTGAATATTACATCTGCACTGATGGTTTGTTTTATTTTTTATATAAAGCACTGTTTTGATTATAAGGCTATTCCAGGACTGACCACAAAGGTATAACATTTTAATTAATACATGCATATTCTAAATGGTCTTTTATCCTGAGTAAACATCTACATGCCAATCAAAGCATTCACATTCAATATCATGGCAGAGGTGCTCCTGCACTATCCTCATCACACAGAAATTGATGGATGCCATTTAGGTGGAGCATAACCACTGTACCAGGAATGTATTAAATGAAGGGCTAATTATATTTTTCTATGTTCTGATGCTATAGTCTATGTTTATTTTAAATGTACTTGAAAAGCAGGTGTTCCCTATAAATAATGTTCTAGTCATCCTACCAATTTGACTGAAAATAAATGAAATAGATAGCCATACAACTGAGGCATATTGGCCTAATTAGAAGTGTTGTTGAAACCAGACAATAAACCAGAACAGACACAATGTATTTATGAAAGTGGCACTGAAAAAAAACGTTGTTGTTTTTTTAAATCATTGCAGAAATATGTTTTTTTAAATAATAGCCAAATCTTCCTCTCTTCTCTGCCTCCCTCCTTCTGACACTCCTGACTGATCTTATCCGGGTTAGCATCCATCTTATATGACCTTGAGCAGACCTATATGACTAAGCTACTGCTTTGCTTTTTATTCTGATATATAGTCATTATAATTCATGAAAAGCCTTTCATTATCATTAGTTCTTACATAATTACATTGAAGACAAGCCTCTTTATGATGCATGGGTTATTTTACTACTAATTAATGCAAATAATTGAGCAGAATTTTGACACTATGTCTGTAAAATTCATATTTATTTTGTTCCTTATAAGATGTTTACATGTGTAAGTGAAATCGTGTTTTTAATAAACTAATCCAGAAATACTCACATGGTTTTATTGCTGTTCCCTTGGTAACAAGCAAACCCTTGCCCTTTTAGCCTACTGGCATTCGTGTGGATCGTACCACTTTGCAGTCGTAGGGGGAATGTTAGAAAATGTAAGTTATAGAATGGTCTCTTTTGCCTAAAGACAATTAAGTTAAACTCAACTTAAAGCAAATTAGATTGCAATATAACATATTTGTGCATGTATTGATATGTGTCCCGTTGTATACTGAAATGTATCGCCTTAAGGCATCTCAGTTCACCCCGGGAAACCTCGTCATCACACGGAGGATCGTACAGTAAGCTGTCAAAAGCTTGTTGCTTAAATCTGTGCAGTGCTATAGTAAAGTAATAACGAAACGAGATCGAAGTAACAAGCTATATATCTGCAAACAGAGCAAGAGTTAAACTGTTGGTGAGCAGACATTTCGGGAGCACTTGACATCGTGTTTTCGTTAGTTCGTCGTCTGTCCTAGCTGATGCGTGATAGCTGTTTCCTCTGGGAAGCGGTTCATCCGTGATGATGATGAGGTAAGCAGGTGTGCTTCCCAGCTAACAGTGTGGCTAATGTAAGCTAATAACCCGTCATGTTCAATGTTAGCCCCATGACAGCAATGTATTTTGCTTGCTAACGTTACTGTAACTAAGTATTTTCGACAAGCTAGCTAAAGTAGCCGAGGATGAGAATGCAAATCAGAGACCATGCTACCCTCGAAGTAGCAAACTGTGCAGATAACACGGTGGTGACAGGTAAGGGTCATGCTAACGTGTGTTGAAAGTCAGTGCATTTTCTGTTCATTGTTAAAATATATACATAGCTGTATTTTTTTATACATGCTTGAAATATGTGTGTGCATCTTCTCATCCTCACTCCAGGAAATGTGTGAGGAACAGACATTAATAAACAATAACTACTGTTTATCATCAATAATAATGCAATTCGTACACCAAATGAGGTCAACCAAACTAACATTTAGAAAAATACTTTAATTTATTTTAACTATCAGTACTTAAACAACTAGAGAAGAGGCAGAGTTGTTATAACTAATCTGCTCTAGCAGTTCAGTTTACCGTCATGTCATTACTGTGTTTTATTGCAACATCATTCTCTTTTATAGTCAGACAACTTTGTGGTCATTTGTGACAGTTAATTTGTTAATCTTGGGATTGATCATGCTGTATTCCACATAGAATCCACTTGTCAGTGAGACACATTCAGTGTAAGAAGTCATTATATATGGAAAGTGAATGGATTATGTATGCACAAGCAAAGTCTAGGAGTAAAATCTTGAATTAACACAGAATTGTTAGTTGGGGTTGCAGGATATTTGGATTTAAACATGCTACACAAATGGTTATTACTAAACA